ATAGGAATCCACAATTACCTAAACATTAAAGGTTTGACTTAAAGCATCCTTCCCCGGCACGGGTGACTGGACTCTCATCACCACAGCTGCCTTTCAGCTTTCTCACCCCCAAGCCTCACTGCATCACTTCTCATCTCCATAGAAATCACAGGATCATTAAAGACCATCTCATCCAAAGGTTTTCAAACTCTGCTCCCTTGAGTCCTAAGAATGAAGTTGCAGGAGGTACAGCCAACTTGGGTGGTCCAGGGAAGGAGATCTACCAGTGCATCTCCACTAACACAGAGCAAGTCCACTTCTGTCTGTGATGAATATTGGGATTCCACTTATGTTAAATAGGGTTCTACTCTCTCCTACACTGTTGGTGGGAATGTAAATTGGTGCAGACTGAAAACAGAGTTACCCTATGATCCAGCAATCCCATTCCTGGGCATATATCCAGGGAAAATTCCAGTTAGAAAAGATACATGCAACCCAATGTTCATAGCAATGCTATTTACAGTAGCCCAGACATGGAAACAACCTAAGTGTCCATCAACAGGTGACTGGATAAAGAAGCTGTGGCATAGATATATAATGGAATATTACTAAGTCATAAAGAAGAAGAAAATAATGCCTTTTGTAGCAACATGGATGAACCTGGAGATTATCGTACTAAGTGAAGTAAGTCAGACAGAAAAAGACAAATATCACATGAGATCACTTATAGGTGGGGTCTAAAAGAAATGTTAAATAAAACAAAATTTACAAAGCAGAAAGAGGGATAAATTAGGAGTTTGGGATTAACGGATACACACTATATAAACTGTATATAAACAACAAGGACCTACTGCACAGCAGAGGGAACTACATTCAGTATCTTGTAATAACTTATAGGGAAAAAGAATATGAATAAAATAATATATACATATACATGTGTACCTGAATTTCTATGCTGTACACCAGAAACTAACACAACATTGTAAATCAACTATACTTCAGAAAGGAAGGAAGGAAGGAAGGAAGGAAGGAAGGAAGGAAGAGGGTTTTACTGCATTATCATGTAGTAACTCATCTAGTAAAAGCTGGTGCATGTTTTAGACTTTAGAATATCTCCCCCGATTTTCCTTGTCCCAGCCGAGGGGCTATTAAAGCTGAGTTCAAACACCACTGGCTTGGGTGAGTCGCTTACCCTCACGGGGACGCCCTCTTCTCTGAAAGGAAGGTGACTACCGTGTCCTCACAGGAGGGCTGTTCTAAGCGGCAAATGAGAGGAGCCATGTACAGCCCTGGGCACAGGCCTTCCGAAAAATAGGACTCACGGCACGCAAGTTAATTTTAGAACCACTCCCTCTCGGCAACATTTCATGCTACACAACTCTAACAGGAAGCTCTTTATCCTGAGCCAAAAAGCCATCCCAACAGCATGGACCGGGTCCAGCTTTCCCCGGTCTCCTCAGTCCCTTTATGTCTGACCTACTTTTCAGTGCTGCCGACACATCCTTAGACGTTCTCTGGTTTCCCACTGCTTCTCACACATTGTGACGGCCAAGCCTGAGCACAAGGCTCTGGGTATCCCCATGCCAGGACCCCTGATGGTTCTGTGTAGATCGTGTTTATGTAGGTACAGTAGCACAACCTGTAATCACCGTGCCCTTTGTTTACACTGTTCATTAAGATGCTTAAAAATGCTTAACAGAATTTGTTCTGCTAAATGCATACCTAATTATATTTAAAAGCATTAATTACCTAGAATTTGTCAGATTTAAGTTTCCTCTGTTAGTGTAGTGTCAATCAGCATGCCACCCACATTAACAACCTAAGGAATAAATACTGTATGATCATCTCAATAGATACAGAAAACTTTTCACAAAATTCAACCTCCATTTACGATGAAATAAACTCTCCATAAAATGGGCATAAAAGGGAACATACTTCAACATAATAAACGCCATATGTGACAAGCCCACAGCTAAAATCATACGCAATAGTGAAAAGCTAAAAGCATTTCCTCTAAGTCAGGAATAAGACAAGGATGCCCACTCCAGCCATTTTTACTCAAGATAGTATTGGAAATCCTACATAGCAACCAGACAAGGAAAAGAAGTAAGAGGAATGCAGACTGGAAAGGAAGTAAAACGGCCACTGTTCGCAGGCGACATGATACTATACATAGAAAACTCTAAAGATGCCCCCAAAAAACTACTAGAACTCACCAATGAATTCAGTAAAGTTGCAGGATATGAAATTAATATACAGAAATCAGTTACATTTCTATACACTAATAATGAACTATCAGAAAGAGAAATTAAGAAAATCCCATTTACAATTGCATCAAGAAGAACAAAATACCTGGAATAAATCTAACGACGGAGGTAAAAGACCTGTACTCTGACAACTACAAGACACTGATGAAGGAACAAACAAACGGAAAGATAAACTATGTTCATGGACTGGAAAAATTAATACTGTTAAAATGACCACACTACCCAAGGTAATCTGCAGATTCATTGCAATCTGTATGAAAATATAAATGGCATTTTTCACATAAGTACAACAGACAATTCTAAAATTTGTATGGAAACATGGAAGAACTCAAACAGCTGAAACAATCCTAAGAAAGAAGAACAGAGCTGGAGGAATCATGCTCCCTGAATTCAGGCTATACTACAAAGCTACAGTAATCAAAACAGTATGGTACTGGTGCAAAAAGAATAAAATCTTCCCATTGGTGATGACATGGATGGAGCCAAAGGGAGTTATGCTAAGTAAAATAAGTCTGACAAAGACAAATGCTGCTTGACTTCATTTATGTGTGGAACCTAAAAACAAATAAATATAACTAAACAGAAACAGAGTCAGAGACACAGAGATAAAACAAGTGCTACCAGAGGGGAAATGAGAGACAGAGGTGAGGGGGATGAAGAGGTACAAAGTTCCAGTTACAAAATAAATGAGTCATGAATATGAAATGTACAGTGTGGGGAATACAGTCAATGACTATGTAATGTTTTTGTGTGGGGACAGGTGGTAACTAGACTTACCTGGTTGGTGATCATTTTGAAATTATAGAAATATCAAATCACTATGCTGTGCACCAGGAACTAACATAGTGATGTAGGTCAATTATACTTCAAAACCAACCAAACTCATAGAAAAAGAAATCGTATTTGTGGTTATCAGAGGCAGGGAGTGGCGGGAGAGGGGAGGGATTGGATAACGGTGGTCAAAAGGTACAAACTTCCAGTTATAAGATAAGTACCGGGGATGTAATGTCCAACATGATAAATATAACGAACACTGCTGTATGTTATGTATAAAAGTTGTTAAGAGAATGACAGAGAGTTCTCATCCCAAAGAAAAAAGTTTTTTTCTATTTCTTTAATTTTTGTATGTATAAAAGATGGACGTTCAGTAAACTTACTGTGGTCAATTCATGACGTAAGTCAAATCGTAACACCGTACACCTTAAACTTATACAGTGCTAGATGTCAATTATATCTCAATAAAACTAGAAGGAAAAAAAAAGAGGTGATTCTCAGAACAGATTTGGAATTTCATACTTGGGTACCCAATGACAGCTTCTAGACTGTTAATGGAATAAATGATTAACTGGTCCTTTTTTAAAAAATGTTACCTACTTAGATTTTCTTTGTTGGATTTAGAATTCCACTGTTAGTGTTTGTGGTTTACTTGAAAGTGTTAAGCGGTATTAAATTTATGAAGGATTTAACCATTGAATGTTAATCAAAAACATGAAGCACAGAAAAAAATGAAAGTGATTGTTTTATAATTGTTATAAATAAGTTCTGTAAGCTGAGTGTAAAGATTTAAAAGGAAAAAAAGGTGCCTAGAGATAGTTCATTTTAATATTTGGGATAATAATTAAAACATGAGGACGTGGGAATACTGCTTCCCTGTACAAAAGCATTTCTTGGAGATTGCAGCTCTAACAATTTCCACCAGGACAACTGTCTACTTTACAACCACAGGGTTATGCAAAATGCAACTCAAATCATAAAGTGTGACATCACAGAATCAACGTGTTCTTACAAAATTCAGAAGACTTCAGTGTCGCTGGTTACCAGAACTTCTAGACATGAGTGTCTTAAAAACCTAATAATTTCACAGACCGTTAACACCTTAACATCAAAACAGATCCTTTGCCAATGCAGACTCTGTCATTACCACTGTCTAGTTTTCTCCATGTTGCGGTAAGTAAAAATATCTAGGTCTAAGCAGTTTTGAAAACTTGAAACTCTCAGTCAAGAGAAAATTGGTTTGATCAGTCTACCTGTTTTCTTGGCAAATATGAAATCCACTCTTTAAGAAAAATCACTGAGTCACAGGAACCCACCGACCAAGGAGAACACCCATCACCCTAACTGCAGCTCCCACAGGGCTTCACACAGGGGGCGGGGCCTGTGGGTGTCTCTGCACAGGAGAACAACTCAGCCTGTAAACTGTTCATTTGCCTTACTGCCTTCACTCAGCAACTCGACATTCAGAGAACTGCTAGGAAACGAATGAAAAATGAGACTCAGATCAGGTGACGAGGTTCAAAGGGCTCTGATCTGGGGCGGGGGTGCTCCATGCCATGTATGCCCCACTGAAGGCCTGGAGTTCCAGAATAAAGTGGTGATGGAGGTGGGGGGTATATACTGGCAATACTTAAACTGAAAAGTATTAAAGGAAACAGACTTAAGGTACTAAAATTCAATGCAATAAAATAATCTAAAGCTAAAATTCTTCACTGAGCTCCCTAAGCAAATCTTTTGGGCCACGATGTGTTAAAAGTTAATTTAACATTTGGAGCTCTCTAAATGTTAGCAGAGGGTTACTGCAAAATGTATGTGTGGATGGACGGACAGATGGACGGACAGGAGACAGTGTAGATGTGCATAATCTCAAAACATTTACTTACCATTCACTACTTGGCAAAATCAGTTCTCCCAATCTGGTTGGGACAATAGGTATTTTTGTTAAAATACAAGTAAGGAACAAGGAAAGAGAAAAGCATATTTGGAGTGAGAATCCTTTAATAACTATATTCATTTCCAGAGAACAATAAATAGAGAAATGACAAGCAGTACATGTAACAGTAGTATTTTCCTTAGGTACAGAAAGCATCTACTTTAATACAACTTAACGGGCAAATCCTTTTATCGGGAATCAGCATGGGGAAGAGCTACACAAGAGAAGAAAAGGACGCTAAAATGAGAAATTGTTTGTTCCTGACCCTCACTGCTGAGACCCTCACTCCAGGCCGTCGGTCCCCTGGAAGGGAGGCGGGAGACCCCGAGGCTGGAGGCCCGCTCAGCTCCGGGCGGCCGCGGTCTGCGGTTGTTCAGACTGGAGCTGTTTACCGAGGTATTCCCTGAAACACAGGGACAGCAAGGTGGATTAGAACTTCAACAACACAGAAACTCTTTCAAAACTGGAGCACCACGTGTACTATCATTTATACTTACTTTAGTATCTAAAAACCAGTGAAACAGCCCCAGAAAACAAATCTTATCCCAACACCAAAAGTGCCCGCACCACAGGAATTCTGAACGCTCCGCGTACCGTGCACAGACAAGTGTTCTCCGAGCTCCCTGAACCTGTGGTTTGGTGTCTGAGGTTAACTTGGGGGAAATCCTCAGTCACTGTCGTTCCAAGTGCTGCGTCTGTTCCTTTCTTTCTCTGATATTCGCACCGCATGCATCTTACTTCTTTCGGAGCTGCCCCACAGTCCTTGGATACTCTGCTCTGGTTTTTTCGGTCTTGTGCTCTTTGCTTCTCAGTTTGGAGGTTTCTACTGATACACCCTCCAGCGCAGGGATTCCCGCCTCAGCTGTGTCCAGTCTGCTACTGAGTTACAGTGTTTCTGACCTCTAACGTTTCTCCTTCGGGATCTCTTTCTGACGATTTCTGTCTCTCTGCTTAACCTGCCCGCTGTTACTGCACGCTGTCTACTTTATCCATTAGCGTCCTTAGCATATTAATCATAGCTGCTCCCAGTCTGGTAATTCCAACCTTCCTGCCACGGCTGGTTCTGATGTTTACTATGTCTCTTGTTCTTTTTTTTTCCCCCCCTCAGCAATATTTTCTTGACAGCTGGACATGATGTGCCAGGCAAAAGAAACTGCTGTAAAGAAGCCTTCGGTATGCGGTGGTGAGGCGGGGGGAGAGGAAGCTTTCTGCAGTCCTCGGACTGGCTCCCAGTCCTTATCGAGCCTGTGCCTCAGGACTGTGACCTTCGCAGCTGTCCCTTAGGGTTTTTCTACCCCTTTGGGTGGAACAGGACGGCTAGGGTCAGCTAGAGTTAGTTATCTCCCTTCCCTCAGTTCGAACTCTGATAACCTCTCAGCAGGTTAGGCTCTGGTTACCCAGTCTCCCAAGTGCAGGCCTTGCTGAGAACAAAGGGCTCTGGTTCCCTTCCCCTCCCTGTGGCGGAGCCTGAGGGAATTTTTCTCAGATATTTATGGTGGGAAGCTGGTCTAGTTTCTGGAGGCACATCTCACTATACATTGGGGGCCCTTATGATTGGGTCCCCCTGGAGTTTTTAACTCAGAAATGTGCACGCACCCCAAGCCTCCTGCAATTCACTGATCACTGTGCCGGCCTTCCCACGTGGCGCTGCTTCCCTCACTGGCTTCGCTCTGGGTCCCCGCGCCTGTAAGCCACAACTCCCTGTCTTCATTTGTCTCTCCAGGCTTGGCAGCAGCCGTGTGCCTGTGTCCTGCCCTCTCTGACAGATCCAAGAAAAGTTGATTTTTTTCAGTTAGTTCAGCTTTTTATTTGTTGTTTGGATGGAGTGGCTTCCAAGCTCCTTACATGCAGAACCAGAGATCAGAAGTCTCTCCTTTCCTTTTTAAATGCTGGTTCTGCATCAGCAAGTAGTTACAACCAAAATCAATCTGTACAATGCAAAGCGTGTCCCTAAATGGCCACAGGACACACACACCTAGTGACGTAACATGCCGTGTGCGAGAAACGTCCGTGCTGCTGCAAGGACTCTCAAGGAGAAAGCTCATATTTTATTAGTTACAAAATTGGTATGTCAGCAAAGACCACATTCAAGGCCTGTTATAGACCCTTTTTTCTTGAATTACATTCAGAATGTAAGATTCTTAAGTGCACAAGAGACAGGGTGCCTGACCTACCTTCTCCTACTATTTAAATCAGTGCCTGGCATATTCCAGGAGCTCAAGAACTGCTGAATGCAAAAAGTTGAAAAGTCCTACAGGGAAGTTAGAACCTGAAAAAAAGATCCATTTTTCTCCTGCGGAGAAACATCAGGAGAGACAACGCCAGCCGTTAAACCTACCAATCACCCCAGTCTAAGCGGCTCATTACCAGCAGAACGTCCAAACGACACGTGCAATTGTTTTAAATTAGGGAAAATTGCCAATATTTTATACTAACCATAAATGGAGTGTAACCTTTAACAACTGCGAACCACCATACTGTGCCTGTAACTTAGATAATGTTGTACATCAACTATACTTCAATGAAAAAGAAAAAAATATTTTAAATTAGAGTTTGCTTAAAAGACAAGAAAGTTCAACTAACCCCACAGTAGAGAAACCAATATTTTAGAAGGCAAGCCCTGTGTTTTAATGATAATGTAGTGGAAAGTGAACTAAATAAGTTTTATAATTAAGTTTGAAAGATCTCCTAGCCTATAAAAGTACTCTTTAGAGAATCATTTCCCCATAAGATATGTAAAAACTAAAATACACCAAATGTGGGCCAGTTGTTTCTCCAACATGAATCCATAATCACCTCTAATGAGTCTCAGAACTATTTTAAAAAAAAAAAAGCAACTATGCACATTTGAAATACAACAAACCAGGATGTAAGAGGTTTTTGTCTGATTTTGTTTGATAACTAAGAACACCAATTATAAACTGTGGGAAACACTGGCTTCCTCGCTCTCACTTTTGCCCAAATCCAAGCTGTCTCCGGGTTTTAGAGATTCTATCCCCTTCAGCTCCTGGTCCTGCCTCACTAAACAGACGTCCTCCTTATCCACGGCCTGGATCAAATCTGCAGTCTCCTGACTGGCATTTTCCCTCCAGCCTTCCTCCTCCAAATCACAAGCCCCCACTGCCTCTCAAACAGTCCTTCTAAAATGACACATCATTTTTACTATCTGTCTGTAATTTTCCATCATCTCAGGAAAGAGCTGAAACTTCTCAGAACAGCAAAGATGGCTTTTCATGATCTGGCCACTACTTATGTCTCCAGTTTTATTTTTAGCTTCAGAACCAAACTCCAGCTCCCCAAGGGGGTCAGCATCCCTCCAGCCTCAATGGGCCTGTACACACAGCTTCCTTCCTGGGGCCACCCCACTCCAGCTCCCCTCCTCCCCTCTCACCAGCCACCTCCTCCTGTCTGTTAATGCCTTCTACATGCCCTCCGCCCAGAGCATTCCTGGGCCTGGACTGGGCCTGCTCCCCACGTGGCCGCACAGCCCTCCCCCAGGACTATGAGGACACACTGCGCGTGCGAGTGGGGCTCCCCCCGGGCGGCGGGGCTCCCCGAGGGTTGCGGGCGTGCCCCACGCTGCCGTGAGACACAGACAAACGTCCTTCACGTTTAACCTACTGCTTTTCTGGGTTTCAGTTATGTCAGGAGCTGACCCTACCTCCTAATCATTTCTCTTCTTAAATAAAAATATCAGTGTCCACGTGCACTGGCTTTAATGCAAGTGTCTGTGACGAGGTCAATCCACCTGGCACGTCAAAGACGCTTCGGTAACGGCTCACTCCCACACTGACATAAACCCAAACACATGGCAGGACTCAGGTGTTTTTCAAACGCTGACGTCCTGAAACCTTCCTCACTGTTCTGCCTCAACGTGCAGCAGCCAAGGACGTTCCTAAAAGCATAACCTACGAACAACTTGGTCTGAAGAGCACTGACCACTGGCAAGAAATCATTTAGCAGACAAAAAACAAGGTGAAGTGTTTAATTAGCAAAATGGAAATGAAAATTCTCTGTTTTAAACATTCTGGACCACAACTTATCCTCAAAACTATGCGAGAAATCATTCAGCTGAGAAGCAAGACCTGCCGCCTCAGCTGCCCACGTTTCTGGGGCTTTGCCGCGGATGAGAGCAACTCCAGCAGCAGTATGTATTCCGTTCTGTAGACAAATCTATACGTTTTTTAATTGATCAAGGATGGTTCAGTAACTGCAAATCAACTCAATGTGACGTGTACACCAGCAAAAGAAAGAACACATTTTCTTTAATATTTAACAATCATCCTTTTTACATGCTTATAATTTATCATACTTGATCTAATTTAACATATTATGGCAAAAAAATTTCTAATAGCAATTTTCTCCAAATTAGGAGCTGTTTTTTGTTCTAAAGCTTCAGTTCAATATTTTTCAGAAAACTAAGTGATCCGTTTTGTCACAATATGAAAAATCTATTCCTACAGCTCTAATTTTTTAAAAGTATTTATTTAATATATTAAATCCAAAGTCCTTAAAAAATTTTTATTTTTACAAAGATAAATCAAAAAGGTTAAAGTAAATCATGGTTATCAAATACTGAATAGATGACACGCTACCATGCCACCAGGAGGAACTTCAGAATATAATTTACAGAACAGAGGTCCAAACAACTAACATAGTCTGCTATCACCCAATAAGTAAATTCTGTATACTGGAAATCCCACAGCATTCAGAAAAGAGAGAGAGAGAGAAGTACGAGAAACAGCACTTCAAAGAGACTACAAAAAATTAAAAGGTGGTTTTTTTAAAACGTATAATGATAAATAATAAAACAGAGGTAATTTCAAATACAGGTCCTTGGGGGAGGAAAAAAGCAGGTCTTTTACCTGCCGAGATAATACACCTCCCCGGCCAGCGCCTCAGCAACACTGCTTCTCTCCCGGCCACAGCCCGGACGAGGGCCGCGCCACCTGACCCCGCTCACTTGTCTGCAGCGCGGCCAGTGCCTGATAAAGAGCGCAAACTACTCTGAACATTTCTGAAGAGTTACACTGCCTCCTAACCACTAAATACCCACCCTGCCCTCAAATTAAAAGTAGGAAACATAAAGAGTTAATTCTTCAGCTATGAGGGAAGCACACGTTCAACATAAACTGGGCACCTACCCTCCCCAATTTACCAATTCATTTCAATGAATATTGATTTGCTAAATTAGGACAGACAACAGAGGCTTAATCTCACCAATGGGAGGGATGTTGGCAAGGAAATGTGTCCACACATTTAAGAGCAGACAGTCCAGGCCTGAGCCCTGGGCCCTGGGAACAGCCCCACCCACCTCTTCAGCCCTTTCCCTCCATCAACCACCCGCCTCTCACATCTTCACTTTCTCCCGCTTGAGAGAAAAATCGCAAAACTGTTGTAGGT